GAGGGAAAAAGATTAAGAGGAGAACTAGCAACAAGGTAGATGGACTCAGTTCCAGTGGCAATGGGTGATTGTTGGAAAGACTTGAAATAACAAGTTGGGGATAGATCCTGATGAAGAAAATATATCTATGTGGTCGCTAGGAGTAAAAAATAACTTGATGGCCCACAATTTTATTTTTTTATATGTGTTTTATGGGCTTTACAGTGTATTACCAGGAGTCTGGTGTTACAAAAATTAAGAACATAAATTACCACAGGTAACGACAATCCACACTATAATTTATTTTCCAAATAGGATTGTATTATAAATATGATACACTGCAATGCTGCAAGCTAACTGATGATCATTAGATATTTTGAGGGATGAAAATGGGATAATGCCTTGGTGAGCTTCATTGGTTTATTTCTTTATTAGATGTTAATCCCATCTTTATTATTTTTATAAACAGCTCAAGGCAGCAAACATACCTAATACCTTCTCCTATTCTCCTCACAACAACAGCCCAGTGAGGTGAGGTAAGCCCAGAGAGAGTGACTGACCCAAAGTCATTTTTTAGGCTTGCAGCTGCAGCCTAAAGCAGGACTAGAATTCATTCCCTCAGTTTTTAGCCTGGTGCTTTAACTACTAGACTTTACGGTGGAACATCAACAAGTAAAACACTGGTCATTAGCACTACCACCTCGCTGGATGCCAAAAATAGCTCCTTCAGTTCTGGCAAATAGTAAAAATTACCTTTTTCCATGGCAGTCTCGTGTTCATTTAAGAGGATGCGGATCAGAGTACCAGCCATCAGCAACAACTGTGAGTCGCACATTTGCAGCAAAAGTAGTATGTAGTTTGCTTTGGTCCAGAAACAGGAGCCTCCGAACCATCTCCAAAGATCCGCCATGGATTGCGCCAGTTTCTGTGGATCCATTGCCCGATCCAGAGCAGAAGACACTCTGAAGGTGGAGCTGACGCAGGAACGGGAATAGGTAAAATCCTTGGTATCGATAGCCTGTAGGAGGTTCCAGGAGTATTTCAGGAGGTCGTAGCTTTGGAATCGGTTGATGATCCCCATCACGAACGTCCTCTGAGTTGCTTGGCTGGCACGAACAAACCACTCTCGGGTGGAAAAAATCTTCCAGGACAAGATGCAGGATTTGCAGCGATAGCAAACCGGAACTAAGTCTGTTTCCTTCTCACATCTTAGATCAGGGGTATACTGCAATTTATATTCTAGGTCAGGCTCAACTTCCGAAACTGAACGTATCTTCATGACAGCAATCTCTGATTCACAAAGGAAGTAAATAGCTGTAGTAAATAGCTGGTAAAATGCAACCAGCCTCTTAATCTTCCCTTGCCTAACTCTAATTCTACGCCAAGCAGCCGCAAGTCAAAACTGTTAATAAAAGTCCTGGCTAGTTTCTGTTGGTGGAACGCTTTCAAAAAAAAAACTCCTAGGAGACACAGTTGCTACCGTAATTCTCCTAAAATGTGCCCGAGTGGATACTTTTGCAATAAGCATACCATGTAAATTACATTAGACAAAGTGCATCAAGCAATTAATAGATAGCAGGAAATGGAATTAAACAACGACCAGCTTCCGAATTTAACACCACCAGGTTATCTGTTAACTATTTACTATCTGTAAAATGCCAGATAGATGTTGAAAATTGAAAAGATGGCTGTTAGATAACTGGAATTAATGTTATCTTGGAAATCCTAGGTGGCAAAGTCTTGGAAATCCAGTAATATCCATTGATTTAAAAGGACATTTTGACATGAATTAATTTAACCTTTGCTCTTTGTATCTGTTAAAGAAGTTGCTTGTACTATTTTGCTCAAGAAAGGAAACCATTTGTAAGGAATTCATTCTATAGGAGAATTGTATCCTTTTCTATCTGGTTTCTTGCCTCTGCAGTTTGCTTCAGAGCTAGACACATCCTTGGAGACAATTCCCATGAACATCCTGCTCCATAGATAAGGGGGTGGGGGCTGCCCAGAAGCATGAACACACAAGGGACATTGTGTAAAATAACAAAGTATGGACAGAGCATGGACAAAGAACTATCCATGGATAAAGAAGGGAAGGGCATGGGCAAGATATTGCCCACATTAATAACGAACCTTTGTCTCTGATTGGATAAACAGTTTCTATCAGCATAAAATGTATATAATACTCTGAACCACTTTCGCAGGATATGGCTATTCCTTACATGCATTTTGTCAGAATGTTTTGGACATAGTATTCACTCAGATTTTTTGCTTTAGTCAAAGAATAAAAAAGCTGTTGTTTTTGGAAGCCTCGTCTTGAGTCTCATTCTTCGGCATCTCCGTGGCTCAGGGAAACTTCTGGGACCTTATAGATTTATTTTCTATAAATGAACAAAAGGGAATTGTTTTTTTTTCTTCCTCTGTCACATTCATTTCATGAATTCTCTAAGGTAAATCAGAAACAAAACAGAATTGTCTCAGAGTTACAGTTTGATAGTGCCAATGATTCAAGATACAGTCATTAAAATTATATGAATTTCAAAAAAAGAGTCTTTGCCCTCTCCACCCCTCTTTAAATGGGAGAGAAAGATCATTTAAAACAATAAGAAAGTTTCCTTTGGAGAACCTACTAGTGGCTGAATAAACGGAAATGAAATAGTTTTGATCAGGTACTTAGGAACAGGTCATACAACACCTCAACAGTACAGATCTTGCTGTAGAGTCTTTCTGAGTTCTTAATCCTATACTTTTCTTACTTCTTGCAATGAGCCTTTCATTATTTTAACTCAGTTTCTCTTTTGTTTCCCTTTCTTTCCCTTAAAGCAATTAATTAATTGGGGATCTGCTTTCTCCCATACATTGACCATCAATTTTTTTATAAAAAAAAACAAATTTTATTAACTTTACAGAACAATACACAGACAATCAAGGCATAATAACATAAAAGATCTTTTCTGGAAAAACCAGTAGAACATACAAAATATTTCCAAATTGTAATATGTATATTTACATTATCTGCTCAACTTCATATCTTATCCCAATTTCTCCTTTTCATTCTATTATCCAAATTATATTTCTTACTAATTAAATTTTTTTGCCTTTCAAAAACAATACACAAACATACAAGACATAAAACATAAAAAACATAAAACATCTTTTCTGAAAGCTGCTTGATCCCGGGTTAAAACTCTTCGCACAGATGCAAATTCAAAAATCATATTTACTTTATATATCATTCCATATCTTATTACCATTTTCAATTTTCTATATAGCTTCTTCCCTCTTTTATCTTTCTTAGTTTTATTTTATTTATCTTATCTCAATACAATTCATAATACTTATCATTCTTTGTCTGTTCTTTTCCAGTTATCCATTCATCTTTTCTCTTTAAATATACTTCTCCTGTACACTGATTGGAGTGACGCCTTTGACTCTTTCCCCTAACTTAATAATACTTAATATAACTCTTACATTATATTGGGATTCTGATTAGTACATTCGACCATCACTTTTTATCTGACATCTCCTCATGATTTATATCAATTTGGAACAGATTAATTTGGAACAAATATGCTCTCACACAGGTGCATTTCTAACTTAAAAACTCAACTCTAGCACAACTTATCTGGTACCAATTTATGAAATACAGAACTACTGAAATGTTGTCGTTAGAGAGGGAGAACACAAGTAAAATTCAACCAGAAATCTGTCCATCACTAGAATGTCAGTTTTTCATTTCTGACATCATTCAGAAAACAATGGGTCATATTTAAGACTTTCACCAATAACAGTCAAAGATTAACTTGCTATGACTTCATCTTGTCTATGATACATTTTCTGCTTCAACTTTCCCCTACACATCTATTGTGTCTCTGGATGCTTTCAAGAATAAGCACCGCTCTATTTTTATATGGCACCTAATAACATTATTATTATGGTTTCTTCCAACTGTTTATTAGTTTTTCATATAAATAATTCACAATTAAATCTCTCAGAGATTAATCCGTTTTATTAATCATTTCCAGTGAGGGGAAAACTATCTTCACATTTCTGCTTAAAATGTTGGTCTTATTATGAATTCAGCTTCATCCCTTTTGAGATTTTTTTTTCCTTTAGTCACCAGGCTATGACATCCTTTGAAGTTTTTTGAAAAAGTGTAGGTGTCGGAGCTGCCTGTAAGTTTCATTTTGTTCATACTGTTCATACTTTTGGCTAAATAAACAAGCACAATGAGCGTTCAGGTCAAAAAACTTTTATTTGTTTTAGTTAATAGTAAGAAGTTACTCAGATTACATTAAAATCATTTTACTGAAATCAATGAAAAGTATATTACATATGATTCACATTATGAAACTGTGATTCTGTACTATGGTGTCTGTGTACTTCAACAGAGACAAGGAAGCATTGATTAGATTTTGATTACCAGAGTCACTAAAACAATTTTATAAAAGGCTGCCAAACAGCATTTTTAATGACATTTTTAAAAAGAATTCTTCAATGATGACTATTTTTAATTTATTTTAATTACATTAGAGAATCTGAATTTATTTTAATTACATCAGAGAATCTGATTCACAAAAGCACAAACTTTTTCAGGTTAAAGATTGCTTTTAACCTTTCAGTGGTATAACAGGACCTTAACCCCAATTTTAGACAGAGTGAAACCATGCCAAATATTAAGATTTATTAAATCTTAATATTTGAATAAATCCTAATATTTGACATGGTTTCACTCAGTCTAAAATTGGGGTTAAGGTCCTGTTATACCACTGAAAGGTTAAAAGCAATCTTTAACCTGAAAAAGTTTGTGCTTTTGTGAATCAGATTCTCTGGATGAAGTCAAAATTCAAACAGTAGAAGTAGTAGTAATGGTGCTGATGGTGATATTTGTAGTAGAACAGTCATTTACTGAAATATATTTCAAATGCTTTTACTTTTCAGCACTCATTTCTGAAACTTTGGACACAATATTAAAAATTTAGTGCTGGGATGAAAGAAAAAATATTTTTGAGACAATTGTTAATTTATATTTTACGTTTGATAGCTCGAATGTACCGATGCTTCCCATTCTCTCTACAGCCCATAAACAAATTCTCTAAATCTATCTCCTTAGGGTCCATAGTCAATTCAAAAGTGAAGTTCTGGAGCAGATTGGTAAACGATATGAAGATTTCCATATTAGCCAATGACTCTCCTGGACATACTCTCTTCCCTGTAAAAAGAAAAAAAGAAGAAGATAAATAAGCAGAGGGAGTGTTGGCTATGTTTGCCCTTTTTGAGTTATTTCCAAAAATTACAAAGGGGGGATGCAAACAAACAAGCAAATTAATTATCCACCGTCTTTATGCTCCCCAGAAAGTAGGGCTTCATCTCAGATTAACAGTTCTAAAAGAAAGACCAAATAAAGAATATAAAAGTGACATGGCAAGGAAAAGTATTACATGGCCAGTACATTTAACTGGCAAAACAAGTAATAACAAAACCTGACAATGACTAACAGCAGAAAAATTGAAGAAAGAGACTAATTCTGACTGCATACTATATATGTATATATAATGCCTACTAAGCAAGAATTGAAAAGATAGCAGAGAAAGTAAATGCCAGCTCTATAAAGAAGCTGAAGAAACAGTGGACCGCCTAGTTATCTGCTGCAAGAAGATCACATTCTGTTCATGGAGTAACAGAATAGACTGACAACAAATGGTGGCATGACAAAGTAGCAAAAATGGTGCACAGCAAAAAGTACCATTTATCTGCAAGCAAGAACTGGTGGGATCATAAAACAGACAAAGTAATAGAAAATGAAGACACTTAATTGCTTTGGGGCTTTAGAATTCAAACAGATAAGCAACTGCCACATAACACTCAAGAGATGACAGTTATTGATAAGAAAGACAAAAAAAAGTATTGATAATAGATGTAGGAGTACCTTGAGACAGCACAAAAGAAGAGAAATACCTGGAGAAAATCAAAAAGTATAAAGACTGCAAACAGAACTAGAAAGTCTTGTAGCAAAAGAACTGTAACAATGGTAACAGGCACCTTAGGTGCAATTCCAAAATAACTAGAGCATCATTTCAACAACATTGGCATTGACAAAATCATTATCAGTCATTTGCAAAAGGCAGCTTTATTTGGAACAGCTTACATCCTGCAGTGATGCCTTTAACATCGTCTAGCAAGAACAACTACCTATCCAAGGTCCTTGGGAAGAAATCAATAAGTGGACAAGAATGTCAAATTCAGTCTAAATATCTGGCTGACTGTGCAACCAACCATGATAATTAAAAAGAAACACAAACTTTTTAAATAGGCAAGACCTAACAATATTACTGAGATAACTACCCTGTAGACCTATGTGACTTACATTCAAATCGGCAAAGAAAATTGTGCCATGGGAATGACATAATCAGATTTCCTGAATCTTCCTGGAATCATAAAATTAGGGTGGAAGGGGTTGCTACATATCAAGACCACAGCACTAGGAAGAGGCACTATCTCTCTGCCTCAATTTCTCCACCCTACAGTAGGTGGAGTCTCTCCTTCCTGCTCCTTTCTTCATGGAGTAACAAAAATTAAGAATAAAAAATAAGGAACTAGAAACAAGTCACAGAAGTTTATTTTTATGTATGACAACTGTAGCAAGATTATTATAAGCCCAAAATTGGAAATATTACCCACAATGAAGGAATGGTTGGTGAAGATGATGGAACTTGCAGAGATGGCTAAATTAATTTATTTGATTAGAAAAAAGACAATAGCTACATTTATGGCTATATGAAAACCTCTTATAATCTTTTTGCATGAAAGAAAGAAAAAATGACTTATGGTTTCAATTATTAGGAAAAATCGATAATGGAAAAAAGTGAAGTTTTTTTCAGTTTTTAAGGAGATAACTTTGTAATCATGCTTGTATATGCTGCAAAAGAAATTGGAGGCTTTTAAAAAATTTCTTTAAATTCTGTTTTCTGCACTTTTGTTTTTTCTTTTCTTTCTTTTCTTTTAGGCTACATTATTTTTTTATATTATCTTTAAATCTGTTAATAAATGCTTTCATTTACAAAAAAAGAAACGGGCAAAGGAAACAGCATCAGAAAAACTGAAAAGAAGAAAATATTAATCTCCCCCAGTGCTTTGGTCCTATCATGATCTGTATTTATCTCCTTGTTGCTTGTGGCTTTTCAAGAAAAAAAGTTGTCCTTCAGTGGAGGAGTTGATTAGCAACCACTATGTATCTTCTGATTCTAAAAAGTTCAAAAATTTTCCTTCATGATTGAATCAGCTCAGGCAGGAAGAACAGTACCCATTAGCATAGGTGAAGTAACAGTTCAGCAGCCTTAACGATAACTGACCAACCTTGAAGTCCCCAGATCATCCATAACCCCATTATTACCTGCAGAGAAAGGCAAATAGGCATCTTTCTTTTGGAATTCACCATTCTTATCCAAGAAATGAGCTGGGTCAAATGTCCTAGGATTATCCCAGCAGAGAGGATCAAAATGCACTGAAGCCCACAATGGAAGAACAGTTGTGCCCTTTAAGGAGACAAGAAGATACAAAGAGCAAAGGTGGGTTTTTTTCCCCATAAAAAAACAGCCTGCTTTTAATTCTTCCAAAAATGTGAATTCTTGGAAGATTTAAAAAATAAAACATTGATGCAATTTACAAGGTTTCTCCATACCTGGTGTGGACCACTGCATATTCACATGTTTAAGACCTTACAGAAAATTATATTAGTTGTAACAAGACTGAATTGCCTTCTATGTTTCACAAACATAATATACATTTATCCCAATTTGTATTATTAAATTTTATAACTTTCAGATTATAGGTGGAATTTATGGTAATTCCTAAATTCTGAAGATGTGTGTGTGTGTGTGTGTGTGTGTGTGTGTGTGTGTGTGTATATGTGTGTGT